TATCTATAACGCTCAGACGAGACGGGTGCGGGAGAGTCGCAACGTTATCTTTATCGGATCGACCCCCGCGCCGCCTTCGTTGGACGAGCGTGGGTTTGACGACGGGGAGTTCACTTACGCCGACCACGACGACATGATCCGAGATGTGCGCAACTACACCACCAACCACTCGGTCGATGCGCTTTCTCCCACTCATGCCGTCGGGGATCCGTCTGTTCTCGAGCTTCTCGAGGACATCTCCACCGTCCACAACCGTGACCTTGGGACCAACTCCGCAGACCCTGCTCCTGCCGCAGAGGATGCGCCTGCGGACGACAGCCTTGCCTCGCCTGGAGGAGTCAGCCCTCCTGAGCCGGGTGACGGTGCATCATCACCGGCCGCATCGTTGTCTGCTCCTGCTCCGGCCGGTTCATTATCCAGTCCTGCGACGCCGCCTGGAGCGTCGGGTACTGGTTCTGCTGCAGTTGGCGCTACATCGCGGGGTGGTTCTGCGCGTGGACGTGGTTCATCTCGTGGTGGCAGTGACGCCCGCGGTGGCTCTTCGCGTGGTGCATCTACGCGTGGTGGGCGTGGCTCGGTGAGTGGACGTGATTCTCGTAGTGGACGCAGCTCCACGTCAGCTCCTCCTGACACCAGGGTTACCCGGGCAATATCGCGCGTGCCCAACAAGAAGACCCTCAGCGAACTTCGTCGACTCTCGTATGCGTTTCCCGCGATGGGGGAATTTCCTGACGTTGCGCACAGGGACGCCACGTTGGGCTTCACGGAATACGCATACACCGTAGGGGGAGTACAACCAGACGTTCCTAGAACCATTCAGGAAGCACGGGCTTCACCGGACGCAACGAAGTGGAACGCAGCCGCTGAAGCGCGAGATGAAAAGCCTCAGCAACCGCAAGGTCTACAAGCTCGTCCCGCGCTCGGCCGTCCCTCCGGGAAGGAAGCGCATCAAGTCCAAGTGGGTGTTCAAACGCAAGGCCGACGGGACTTTCAAGGGACGTGTCGTGGCCCAGGGTTGGAACCAAGTTCCCGGACTCGACTGCGGCAGCACCTACGCTCCAGTGTGCAGGATCCAGAGCGTGCGAATGGTGGCGTGCATCACAGTTGAGTTCAACCTCATCTTCGATCAGATGGATGTTTCTACCGCTTTCCTCTACGCGGACATCCAAGAAGAAGTGTTCGTGGAACAACCACCCGGTTTCGAGGTCAAGGACAAGGATGGAGGTGACATGGTAATGAAGCTGAATAAGAGTCTCTACGGACTTGCTCAAAGCCCAGGCAACTGGTTCAACACCATCGATCCCGTGCTCGTCGAGATTGGATTCGTCGCACTCAAGTCAGACCCGTGCGTGTATTTGTACGATCACAACGGGGCCAAGATCTACCTGACTCTCTACGTCGATGACCTTCTACTGGCCGGCAACGACTCTGACGCCATTAAGCATCTCTTGTCCTCGGGATGGAAATTAGGAGGGATCGCGAGGCAGNAAGGGAAGTTGCAAAAGCGCTTCAAAATGACCGACCTGGGGGAAGCATCTTTTGCCCTCGGGATGAAAATTAGGAGGGATCGCGAGGCAAATACCTTGACCATTTCCCAGGAAGCGTACTGCAAATCAATCCTTGAACGGTTTGGGATGTCGGGCTCCAAGCCGACCAGTACACCTGGGTACGGCTCCGAAATCTCAAATATCCAACCAGAAGACACACTTCTCGACGAGAAAGAGACCCGCAAGTACCAAGGGATCGTGGGATCACTCATGTACATTGCGCAAGTGTTGAGATACGACATCATGTACGCGACAGGTCAGCTGGCTCGCTCGATGGCGAAACCCAGCAAGGTTCACATGGTGGCGGCAAAGCACACCCTTCGTTACTTGGCTGGAACGATCGATTTCAGTATCACTTACAAGAAAGGTGGTTTCAAGCTCGCGACTTTCTCGGACTCCAACTGGGCGAACAACCCTGACAACGGGAAGTCCACCTCGAGCTACCTGACGATGCTGGCGAACGCTCCCATGAGCTTCAGGTCAGGGCTGCAAGGTCTGACAGCAATGTCCACCATGGAAGCAGAGCTGGTCGCGTCGGCGCTGGCGATGAAGGAAGCAGTGTTTTGCTCCAACATGATGACGGAGCTTGGATCTGGGAAAGAATTTGCACAACTGCCCGTGTACTGCGATAACACGGCTACTCTACATGCATTGGGGAACCGGTCCTTCAGCTCGAGGACCAAACACATCGCGTTGCGGTTCTTCTTTATTCGAGAACTGGTGACGGAGGGGAAGATCTCCATCCATTACGTCCCGACGGAGGACAACCTCGCCGACATCGGTACCAAGCATTTCAACAAACACAGGTTCAAACACCTAATGGACCTCATCAACAACCTCGACGTCAACGAGTTCACCGCCGTCGAATAAAAAGGAAAATGAATGATTTGTTTGTTTGAATGTTTCGGATGCAGTTTACATTTTCATTTTAGTTATGTAGGAAACAAGTACTAACACGTAATTGAAATACGGATGAAACGCATTTACTTGCTTGAGATTATCATCATTAGTTTGGTACAATTCAGAGCGACTTTCATTGAGGAGGAATGTTATGGAAATGTTAGCACATAGCCATTATGAGTCAATGTTCAGTAGCACTGCACTTGTACGTCGTAGATCATCGTAGATCTGTTATGTGCCGGTTGGTACGTAACGTGCGTTGTATATGCGGAGGAATTACTTCTGTAGGATTCTATGTTGCCTTGACGAGTAGCTCACTCTCTCGTGTGGATCCTTCCTGACTGTCTGGCATCGTAGCCATCCTGGTCATCTCTAGTACCCAGCCATCTTCTGGACTCCTGCATACTCTGCGGTTTATCTGTGTGTGTTGGCCACATAAGCGCCAGTGTTTACAACATCTTGTCACCTTCTTCATCACACGGAAGCACTCACGTCTTCCAGGGCGTCCACTACACTAGTGTCACCAACTTGATTAGCGTCAAGGACACAGCCTCTCTGCCACCTTGCTGGGGTATACCACAATATCCATAATAGACGAACTTGCCACTATGGTGCTATCGAAGGTGATACGCACGTCTTTTGAGGCTCGCGACGTTGAGGCAGATGGCAACTGCTGGTGGAGGTCGTTGTCGTTGAGCTTCTTCGGCAGCGATTGCTTCTGGCTTCAGCTGAAGCTTGTTTCGCTGGTCTATGCGGCTGCAAACGTAGACCAGATCTCTCTGCTCGTCCCTGAAGGCAAGATACATACCACGACATGNACCTTCTTCATCACACGGAAGCACTCACGTCTTCCAGGGCGTCCACTACACTAGTGTCACCAACTTGATTAGCGTCAAGGACACAGCCTCTCTGCCACCTTGCTGGGGTATACCACAATATCCATAATAGACGAACTTGCCACTATGGTGCTATCGAAGGTGATACGCACGTCTTTTGAGGCTCGCGACGTTGAGGCAGATGGCAACTGCTGGTGGAGGTCGTTGTCGTTGAGCTTCTTCGGCAGCGATTGCTTCTGGCTTCAGCTGAAGCTTGTTTCGCTGGTCTATGCGGCTGCAAACGTAGACCAGATCTCTCTGCTCGTCCCTGAAGGCAAGATACATACCACGACATGTTTGTTGAGCACTCGCAAGATGCCTACGTGGTGTACGGCGACGGAAGCACGAAATTCGTACAAGCCCACGTTTGCAGAGACAAGATGGTCATGGCTTCGATCGCAAGACTGTGCAAGCCCGGAGCTTTCGCGGGTGCCGTAGCATGGGTTGCGGTTTCCGAGGCATTGGGCATTCCGGTGAACGTGATTCACCCCATGGACATTACGGCGAGGAAGAGGATGGGCTTGGGGCTTGTCAATGATGGCGCGGGGCAGGAGGTGGATGGGGACGGATATCAATGGAGTTACTCCCACCGCCCACAGAAGACCCACCTGTGGCTTTTGCCTGACGCCGGAGGAATGGCTCGTGAAGAAGTGAACATCATCATGCATGGTGAAAAGCTCCCCGGTCCTCGAAAACCCCACCGAAGAGCAACTGCAAGCTGTGGGGGAGGTGCAGCACGACACTCCAAACATCGACGATACGACCGACCATTTTGCGGCCGTTGTGATGAAGGATGGCACTACACTTCTGTGCCCCATACATTTGATTGCTCCCCGGCAGAGAGCAGCCGACGACGCGAGTGGTAAGGAGGACTACGACAAGCGGGTTCTTGCATGCAAGGAACAACAGACCGTTCGAGAACGACAAGCCGCTGGTGTGCAAGCCGGCAGTGACACAGTGGCGGCCGACACGACGGCGTCAGAGGTGGTGGCGGCGGACGTGGTGGTGGCGTTGTTGGTGGTGTTGGTGTTTAGGACGGCAAGCGAAAACAGCAGTTCCGCCAGAGCAAGAAGCAGCAAGGTGCAGTACGCTCGCATCCTCGTCCAGATGACGGAGGGTCTGGAGAAGCAGCCACCCGGCCGTTGCGGCCCCTTCTTGCTGCCGCCCGTTCTGCTCCTGCTTCTCGCTCTGCACGATCTGCACATCGGTCGTCGAAGGGAATCGTTGCCCGAACATACGCTGGTGTGGCGGCATTGGCTACGATGATGCTTGCAGCTTTGATGGCGGCGGTCCAGCCCCTAGCTCTAGCCTCTAGTGGTGTTGCTGTACTGGAAGCGGTGGTGGCAGGAGCGCCAGACTGTCCTGAATCCTCGGGGTTCAACGTGTCATCGGAGGAGGAGGAAGGCCAGTGGGCGGGGTATTTACATTTGGACGGAGTAGACAGTGGCAGTTTTATTCGGAAGACGGAGGGAGAGGCAATGTGTGAGAGCAGCTGTGTCGTTCTGAGCTTTCCGAAAAGGGGGAGGAGGAGGAGGAGGAGGAGGATTGGAGGCGGGGGCGCCGGGGGTGGAGGCGGGGGGTTTGACCCTTGCCAATATGTGTGCATACTCGGCGAATGCCCTGGGTACACCTGAAAATTCGCGAACGACCTGACTCACGAGTGCCTTAGAGGGAACTGTGCGTGCATGCATTGTCATGTGTTTGTGGAGGAGCACGCGCAAAGGGAACGCGAGAAAGATGAGGGTAGGCGGGAAGGAAGTTTGGATGGAGGGTTTGCATCGCGAACATGATAGAAACAGAGAAGGAAAGGAGACAAGAGGCGAGCGCGACGGAGGCGACGAAAGGACCGAGCGGGGGAGACGAGCAGGCGAGTCGGAAGAACGCCGAGAAGATGCGGAAGGCGAACGATAGAGTGCGCAAAATCTCCAATAGGGAAAAGCACAAGCTAAGAGTCGGGTCGTGGAACGTGCGCGGGTTCGCAAGGAGTGAGCGCAAGCGGTTGGAAATAGTGGACCAAGTAGAACAAAGCGATCTAGATGTAGTGGGAATCCAAGAGACGTGGGTATTGAAGGATGGTGACGTGGTAAGCAAACGAGGGAAACACCGGTGGGTAGGGAAGGCAAGAAAGGGCTTAGACCCGAAGAAAAGGGGGGAGGGGGGAGTCGGATTCCTGGTCAAGGAACACTTGTTTGACGTGGTGGAAGTAGTGGTGAAAACGGAGTTCGAGGAAAGCCTATGGCTTAAGATACCTGGGGAGCGGGGTGAGAAAGATTTGTTTCTAGGGAACGTATACGTCCCACCGTCGTCGAAGAAAGTCGCAAGCAAGGCGCAGGAGAACTTTGGACAAATTGGGGAAGATGTCCAGAGGTTCAGTAGGAAGGGAGAAGTTGTCATGGTAGGCGATTTCAACTCCAGAGTAGGGAAAGCTTCCAGGAAAGGACAGGCGATCGGGCAGCACGGAGAAGAAGACAAAGTGAATGACAACGGAGTGAGGATGATTGAATTCTTGGGAAGCAACGAGCTGATGGTGTTGAACGGTAGGAGGGAATGCGATAAGCCGGAGTTCACCAGGCAACGGGCAGTTTGCAATGAATACTC